ATCATCTAGAATCCACCAGAATGACTACTAGGCTGACTTAATTATTAGTAGGGTTTGGCAGATTCGAATAATCCAGTTAAGCCACTTGTGAAAAATTCATTGCTTCAGTGGGGTGCCACGAAATCCTGTTTTCAACATTCAGCCTACTTCATCCTAATTTAGGGGTTCCATAGATTGCAGTAGGATAAGCGGTTAATTTGGCTCATTTGAGAGTAAAGACGAGGCTCGCAGTTGGGCTTCACAGCTCACGTACTTAGAGCTTTGGCAGTTCTGGAACCTTGCCCTTGCTGCCCTAGGTTTGAATTCCACCAAGGCCGTTCACCTTTTTTTACACAAGCTGGTGTTCAGTTAAACTAGTTTTGGTAACTATCTCAACACAAAACACACTTGTGAAAGCTTGTCATGACTAGCTCCAGTCGAACGCACACTTCGGAACGCTTACTGCTTCCGCTTACCTCTTATGCTATCGCTTTCTAAAATCGGACGGTGTTGCCGAACAAGATCAGGGGGGCTGAAATGGCAATTCTAGGCTCGTTGTCTATCAACAAGTAATCGTAACCTGGCCTCCCCCGGTCTAAGAAGGCCATTGAGTTAAACCCTGGTGCACTTGGTCGTCGAAGCTTTCAATGAAACTTTCGACGCATTCAGGTCGTGTCAAATGTGATACGACATGGTAAGTAAATCACGGGAACATGAAACTTTGTCGATCAAAGAGCAAGAGAGAACTTGCTCTCACTGACGCACCTTGGTGGTACTATATGGGCCTCAAATATTACTGGCTGATGCCCTTAGCTGTTGTCCCTCGCGTTTGTTGACAATCCTTCTATACTCTCCATCTCTTGGTCCAATAATTGGGGCGTTAGACTCTGCTCAAAGGGTAGCCAGTTCGACTTTCGGATGGAGCACCACTTTGGGTCTGCGTATGACTGACTGAAGACTGCTAATAAGCCAGAAATGGCCATTCCAGGTTCCCTTGTCTTTGTCGGTAATACTATCTGCCTATACTACCAGCTGCTAAGGCCATCAGGGTCACTGTCGAGGCCCAAGGCAGAGCGGGACAGATGAGTTCCGTAAATGGTCGGTGAACGTTAATCAACGAGGGTCAATATCCCCCGACTGAAACCGGCAGGACGACGAGGTCGTGACTCAATTGTTATGGTGATAGATTCTGATCGAAAGGTCAGGAGTTTGAGGCTCGGTTTGGGCACTAGTTGGGTTTGGGAATGTCTGAATGACGACGACTAATAAGCCAGAAATAGTCATTCTAGTCGTCCTTGTCTTTGTCGGCAATATTTTTCGTTGGCCGACGTAGCGCAGCTGCCTCCACGTCATTTTAATGCGTAAGTAGGCTACTCGCAAGTTCTAGAGCTATCTAACACG